GTTGTCCAAGGGACACATAAAAAGTAGCCTTTTATATAGAAATTTGCTTCTAAACTGCAAATGTATTTTTTTTAAATTGGCTAATATTGCGCTTGTGGGTTTGTATCTTTTTTTAAATTTTTTTTTTAATACTTTCTTTTTGAAAAAAAAAACTTATTAATAAAATTGAAAAATGTAATTTTAATATAAAAATATATTACATATGTGGGAGGACGAGGGTGGCAATGCAAATGAAATATTTGTACAGTATTTGTATATTATTTAAAAAATATATATTCCACTCCGGGAGTGGAATATATTTTTAATCCAGTAGGCTTAATAAGTGCAAACTGGCATAAGTGCAAACTAGCATAAGTGCAAACTAGCATAAGTGCGAGGGATTGCAAAAACTGGCACAAGTGCAAAGTGGCATAAGTGCGAAGTATAATAAGTTGTGTTATGCCAACAGTTGCAATTTTATTCGCCGCACTTATGCAAGTTTGCACTTATCATATTTTGCACTTCTGCCAATTCGCAAATATGCCAGTTTGTACTTATGCCATTCGCACCTATGCCAGTTTGCACTTATGAAATTTGCGCTTATTCAGTTGTCCCCTTTAATCACGAAACACTTTGTTTCTTTAATGAGGATAAAAAGCTCGATTTAGTTTCAAATGTCTTGACATTGCTAAATATCGTGATTCTCTGTAAAGACTAAAAAATAGAAAATAAAATACAACAATAATATTGGTTATTAAATTTAATGTTTTATAACCTTTTTTTTTCTCACATATAATTTTTTTCTTAACCTTTTTTGTTGTCCATGACGCTCTAAAAAAATAAGCATTTAATAGAGAAATTTCCTACTAAATTGCTCGTAACTTTGTTTATAACAGTAATAATTAAAAATTAGCAAATCTTTTCATTTTAAAAATAAGCTAATATTGCTTGTGGGTTTGTAATTTTTCTTTAATTTACTTTGTTCTCTTAAAAATAAATTTTTTCATTTTAAAAATCGGCTAAGATTGCTTGTGGGTTTGTATTTCTTTTTAAATCTTTTTTTTAATACTTTTTTTTCGAAATTTTTTTTTTAAATAAAATTAAAAAATTAACTTACAAAGTTATCTTAACTTTGTTTAATATTAATATAAAAGTATACTACATCTGTGGGAGTGCGCGGGCTGCAATGCAAATGAAATATTTGTACTTTATGTTATTTTACTTTTATATAAAAATTTTTTATCTTTTAAAAGAAAAATGTTCCGCTCCTTTAATCAGCAAATACTCTGTTTCTTTAGGATAAAAAGCTCGACTTAATTACACATGTCTAGATAAACACATCGCTAAATATTGTAACTCTCTGTAAAGACTAAAAAGTAGAAAATAAAATATAGCAAAAACATTTGCTAAAAATTTAATCTTTTTGTACTAAAAAGTATAAAATAAACTTTTAATTTAAATTTAATAGTTCCGCAAACTTAAGATTGACAGGTATGTTTCTAAATAAACATTGCGCAGACCTGTCAATCTTTAGTTAACTATTAAATTTAAATTAAAAAGTTTATTTTCTACTTTTTAGTACAAAAAGATTAAATTTTTAGCAAACGTTTTTGCTATATTTTATTTATGTTTTAAGTTACTATTAAAATAGTTTTAAATTTCTCACTATTAATTTTAGGCAGAAGAGTTTCTCATGAAAAAGTAAAGCTCTTAAAAATATCATTGATATTAGTGAATCACTTAGATATAAAAATGCAGAGCAAGTAGCTTCTGTATTGTTAAAATGTAAAATGGAACGTGAAAATATTGTAAGTGAAGAGCAGTTTATGTTGTCTATTGGTGGAAATCTTCTCTCTGTTACAATTGGAGTAAATGAAAATAAGTTAAAAAGAAAGTAAATCAAGTTTCATTCCAAACTATTATGGAGCTATTGAATGTATAAGAACTCTCTAAAAACAAATTTAAAAAATTGTGTTCTTCTTTATGCAGTAATCTAACTGGTGTAGAATCAAACATTGATATTAAAATGACTGAATTACAGGATACTCTAGTCACTTTATATGAATGTAAAACTGAAGAACTCCTTGACGATGATGAAATAGTTGTTAGAAGTATAGTTTATGTCAAGAATACAACTGAATTTATTACATTTATAATTGACGAAAGAGGTAGTGATACTTTAATGCAGTAGTAAGAATATCTATAGGTGGTGGTCAAAACTTCATAAAGTTATCATTAAAGTTTTTGATCCAAAAAATCATTATTCTTCATCTGACATGTATGAAGGATCTGGTGTTAAATGTTGTTTTATCTTTGCCATTGTAGAGAAAATGGTGTTTTCCGACATTCAAATTATTCTGGCAAATATGCTTGTCTTTATTGTGAAGGAGATTGCTTCATCAATGCAGGGAAACTAAGAACATTGGACTTATGTTATGATCAATTTGTTTGTGAAGGAGAAAAAAAGATTAAAAATGCAGGAATACCAAAATGTTATGAATCCTCGTTTAATATATTTAAAAGAAGATTAAGAAACATTTCTTGAACACATTGTTCCTCCTCCTGAGCTCCACATTATAATGGGAGTTGTGGATAAACGTTGTACCATGTATTTATGCTTTTATGTTTTGCCAGCTTTTCAAAATTAATTGAAAACACATTACATATTAATGAGAGGATACCATGGAGTAGATTTGGATGGAAAAAATGCTAATAAATTTATGTCCTTGATAGATATTTTGGAGAGGGATGTTACCTAACTGCAATGATTGATATTTTGCTGATAATTTATTGTTTGCATAAATATTCATTAGAAATGGGTACAGATATTTCTGTTAAAATTGAAGACTTCAAATGTTCTTTTTTTAGTCTCCAAAAGATACTTTTGACTACAATTTTTAAGTTTCCTGGAAAATATTTTAGTGCGTCATATTCTTCTATTTATAAAACACAATAATATTAGCTCAGGAAATTACGCAGAACAATGTGGTGAAGCTGTTCAGCACAAATTTAAAAAAACTTGGGTGACCTATAAAAGAACTATAGTATATAAAAATTATGTAGAAAAGCTAAAATCTGCTGTTGTGAATTTTAATTTAAATAATCATTAATATAATTTGTCGCATTAATATAATTTGTGTTATATATTTATTTGTTATATCTATTTTTTATAAATGAAGAGCAAGGAAAGGAAAAAAAAAAGCAAAAAATTATAAGTTTTAATTTTGAAAAAGTATATACTTAGCACTTAGTTTAGATTTTTCTAACAAATTAATTGTTTTTACCAATGCATTTGATTAATTAAATGCAAAAAATTCAGGAATAGGGAGAGTTTCAACCTGGTTGTCAATTTGGAGAACAGTGGGTTTCAGCACTAACAAAACAATTCTAAATGAAAATATTCAGTCTAACTCAACTCCCATTGCATTATAAAAGATCATATGAATTATCAAAAAATTTATATAGGCGTTAGTTGTTACTCCCCTGCTCACTGAATATTTATACTTAATTTTTTAACTTTACAAGAGTCTAACCACTCATTTTTATATTTTCTTATGATTTTTATTTTTTATTCAATGACACTATTTACAACCTGTTTATATTATCACATCTCCCAGGTCTACGTAACTAGATGACTCCGTTGGTCATTTTGCGATCATTTTGTTGCATAAACAATTAAAATTTTAAAACAATTATTCATTTTTTTAAGTCTAAACAATCTGTTAAAAGTGATTTTCTTTATGTATTTTTTATTTATTTTATTATTTTTAACACACAATTTTTCTAATAAGCAATTCAACTTTTTAAAAATCTTGCAATATAGTGAATCTTGCAACTTATTGAATCTTACAACTGTTTGTTTTAAATTGAAGAAACGTAATTTTAAAAAGTTTTTTTTTAATTAAAAAAATTGTTTGTTTTTTATAAAATTGTCTCATTGAAACAACAACAAACAAACAAAATGATTTACAACAGAAAAAAAATTTTTTGCTCTATTTAAACAACAATTTATTAGTGAAAGCATGTATTTATGTGAAATAACATTTTATGAATGTAAATAATTTGTAAATAACATGTAAATAATGAAATTTATTAATGCAATTTATTTAGCCAGAGAAGCTTGTATTTATCATGGAAATAAAAAAAAATGATTTTAAAAACCAATTTTACTGTTCATTATTTGACAAAAAAAGATCTGTTAGGCTTAGTTAGGCTTACATCTAGCTATCTAGTTCCCCTACCCAACTTCCCCCATCTTCAATTTTTAACTGTAGCAATTAATTTGTTTATTTTCCTAAAATAATTTAGGATAATTCAATATGTTGTTGTTTTTTTAAAAAATAAGTGTAATACTAAAATTAAAATATTTGCTGCTAAAAACAATGTTTTAATTGTAAAAAAGTAAATAATATTTGATTTTACAGTATACTACAAAAAAAATGTTTAAATTTTTGTAAAATGTTAATAAAGTCTTTAATGAAAACTTTACCCTGAAATCTTTTTATAAGGAATTTTTTTTATGCTGTAAAAAAATAGATGTGAAAGTAGGTCGTAGGTAGTAACTGATTAGTTTATTAGTTTAAACTTTTAAGTTTTTTACATTATTTAATCTTGAAAGTAGTCAAAAAATTTATATATGCAAATATATACATTTTACCAATACCAAATATATTTAATAATACAACCAAATTTATACATGCAAATATAAGTTTTACATTATTACATATAATCTTGAAAATAGTCAACTAAATATATACAACCAAATATATACGAACATATACATGTACAATGTTATTAGTAAAATTATGATCTTTAAAAACGATATAAGAAAAAAATTTTAAATTGTTATTTATAAATTTGTATTTTTTAATTTTTTTATTTTATAGTTTTTTAAAATATTTAAAATATTTCTTTTTTTATATAATAATGGATTTTTCTATATACTGATATTGTTATAAAAAAGTATATTCATATTATAAAGTCAGGAAATTGTTATAAAAAATTATATTCATATTATAAAGTCAGGAAATCGGGAATTTTTGTGAAGTCTACAATAAAAATCTTGAAGCACTCCAATCTAGAAACACAGATGTTGAATTAAACGAATTTACTCATGTTGTAGATTTCAAGAATACTGTTTGGAATCAGCATCATAAATTATATGAACCTTCCAATGTTGATAACGATTGTGAATTGGAAGTTACCCAAGATAAAACAAATCAATACATTTGTCCCATTACAAAGGTTTTTTTTGTTTTGTTTTTTTCATATATATATATATATATATATATATATATATATATATATATATATATATATATATATATATATATATATATATATATATATATATATATATATATATATATATATATATATATATATATATATAGATAGATAGATAGATATAGATATAGATATATATATATAGATATAGATATAGATATATATATATATATATATATATATATATATATATATATATATATATATATATATATAAATAATTTATTAGTTTTTTTTTTAGAAATTTTACGTATTTGTATTTATTTGTATTTAATTTTTATTATAGACCGAATTTGTTGATCCAATGATAAATACAGAATGCGGTCATTCATATAGCAAAGAAGCCATACTTTCTCATATTCAGCTAAGTAAACGGAAATGTCGATGTCCAGTTGGTGGTTGCATTCAACTTGTAAGATTGGAAAGTCTAAAACCAAATAATGTTATTTCTTTTCAGATGAAAAATTTGTGCAAAACCTATTGGCAGTTTTATTTACTTAAGCTTTATTTTTTTATTGCATTTTTCACACTACTTTTTAATATTTTACAAAAATTTTAAAATTATAAAAAGATAGTTACAGTTTCAAATTTCCAAATTTAATTTCACCATTACTTAAGTCATTAAAAATTTCTTGAATAGTAAATACCTCTTACCAAATATTTTTAAAAATTCACCAATAACCATTTTGGCAAAAATCTGTCATTATTTTAATCGCAGTACGCTGCCTAATGTTTATCATGCCATTACTCATACCCGATGATATATTATAACTAGATGTCTAACTTCGATCGGAAAAGTGAAGCCGCTTTTTACCCTTTTTACAAATGGCGCATTAAATTTGTAACCAAATATTTTTAACTTTTCTTAAATGAAGTAAATATATTTTAAATTTAAATACGATTTACGTAAAAGTATTAAGCGGAAATTATATTATTAATTATATATTTAATTAATTAAATATATAATTAAGTTATTTTCGATTAAAAAAGGATTAAAGTTTTGAATAGATAAGTTAAACGACAGACGCTTTTGAAGCATTTTTATGAATTAAAATATTTTTTAATAAACCTAGGCTCATAAAAAAACTTTTATAAGTATTTTATAATTATTAAAATTTGTTTTTGAATTATCTTAAATTTATTAGGAACTTTTAACTTGCATTTTTAACTTTTATTCCACACTTCGGCTTCGGCTTTTGTCATTATTACAAATAGCGGACTATTGTTATAAACAAAAAAAAGCGGCTTCTCTCTTTGTCCAATAAAATCCCGCAAGTTTAGGGGTAATCGAAGCAACGTTTTAAGAACTTGACCTCAAAATAAAGCTATAAAAATAATTTATTTTAAACATACAAGTTCAAACTCTAAGCGTCTTCAGCTTAAAAGTTGTTTGTTTTTGTTTATATTTTATTTTTAAAACGGCAGTTCAAGCAGGGGCCAATGCTATAAACAAAAAAACGAAGTTTTTACCGTAAAACTCGAAATTTTTTGCGCACCACTCGGAGGTTTTGCGTAAAAAGCAAAAAAACAATCCATTGCTCCAAATATTGTTATATATATATATATATATATATATATATATATATATATATATATATACATATATATATATATATATATATATATATATATATATATATATATATATATATTAAAAATGATATATATATATGTATATTTATTTTCACAATATGTATTTATTTTTATAATAATATTCATACAAAATTAGTTGTTCTTTTTTTTTTTTTTTTTTTTTTTTTTTTTGCTGTTTCCGGGTAATGCGCAAAAAATTTCGAGTTTTACGGTAAAAACTAGGGTTGTTCGCCGAAAAACAAAACTTGCGAAAATTTCGCATCTTTATCTACCGTAATAGAATTGTTATTACGGAAGTTGCACATGCGAAAATGCACATTCCGTAACGCGCTATACGAAAATATAAATAAATAAAATTCCGTAATAAAGCAAAAGCAATAAATGATTTGTTTCGCAAGTTTTCTTGCGAAAGAAAACTTGCGAAACAAATCATTTCGTAAGAATACTTACGAAATAGTTCCTTACGGAAAAAGCATTCCGGAATGTGTAGTTACGAAAAAGACGCAAAAGATTTTATGTTACGATATATTTAAGATATTAACTGTTAACAGTTTAAATAATAAATAATAAAATTATAAAAATATGTTGTCAAATGATTCTTCATATGTTTATACAAATATACCTAATATATATATATATATATATATATATATATATATATATATATATATATATATGTATATATATATATATATATATATATATATATATATATATATATATATATATATATATATATATATATACATATATATATATATATATATATATATATATATATATATATATATATATATATATATATATATATATATATACATTAACGGGATTTTACTGTATATATATGTATAAATATATATATATATATATATATATATATATATATATATATATATATATATATATATATATATATATATATATATATATATATATATATATATATGTATATATATATATATATATATAAATATATATATATATATATATATATATATATATATATATATATATATATATATATATAAATATATACTTATATATACAGTAAAATCCCGTTAAGTTGGACTCTCAATGAATAGATAAACAGTATGCCTTTCTTTTTAAAAAGTATAAAGAGGATGTGTGATAAACAATTAAATACTTTATTATAAAGAACGAGAGATCTCTCTAAAGGTAAATGATATCAGAAAGAGTAAAAAGAGAAGAAATATATGTGAAACAGCGGGATGTGAACCTTGGTCTACGCGGCCAAATGTCTTAACTGAATGAGCTATACGTTCATTCAACTAAGAGAATAGTAATATTTATTTAATATATAATTAAGAAACTATATAAAACAGAATTTACAGAAAGAGATACGTATGCAAATAGGATTCTATATATCAGGAAAATGACTAGTAATGTGAACCTTTAGATGCTTATAATTAATATCTGGACTCAAAAACTAGTTACTTTTAATGGAACACAATAGGCTGTAGGAGCCTCAGGGAAATTATATTCAGAAATGGTTATATTAAAATGAATTATATTATTTGAAAAAGTTGTTTTACGTACATTTCATCATAATTTAAGTAGAACTTAGTAAAGCAAGGGAAACGTGTTGAATTAAGCACAATGAACTCAATCTTAAAAGAATAACTAACAGAAGAGAGGTTGTCACTATTGTGAAGGCGACGAAAGATCTGTAATATAGAACATGGAGGTCAAAAAATGCTATCTTAAGTAAAAAGAGTTTGATGAACAAAAGTTACAATGGCTGCGGGATGCGAACCCGGATCTCTGCGGCGAATTATCACTTATCTAACTGATTGAACTATACAATCTTATACTCAAATTTATATCTTATTAAAATTAAAAAACAATATTTTCTATGATCTATACTTCGAAAAGCGTATTCAAACAGGACTCTACATACCTTTAAAATCTGCTAGAATTTTAGTAACGTGCACACTTTTAGAAATTATTGAAATAGGTATATTTTATCAGAAATATGCTAAAGCTAAAGCATATTTTTGAGCCTCTTTTTACTATTTGCTTAAGCATATTCGAACCTGTTTCAAAAATGTCATATGCTTAAAAAAAAAAAACATGTATATTCCTACCCATCATTCTTATTTTTAATATACGTAATGAGTTCAAAAAACATCGTTGTATATATTTATTATGGCACGTTTCGTAAGTTTATTTCCGTTAAGAATTCTTTCGTATGTTGTGATCCGAAATACTTTCGTTTCGAAAGAAATTTTATTTTTTATCAATATTTCTAAAAATAAAACCGTAAAAATTTAATAAGTTATTTTACTGAAAATAAAAATTCATTATAAACATTTTGGGATTTAAAGATGTTAATTTTTACAATTAAAATCAGTCTGGCAAACAAATTTTCTTTACAGACTTCAAAACGTCATTTGGCGAAAATGTTTGTTTCGCAAGTGCGACTTCCGAAACCGCTACTTTCGTATGTTGCAAAATAGTTTTGTTTCGTATGTCAACTTGCGAAATGCTAAATTTCGGAAGTGGCTTTTGCGAAATGAACATCGGCGATTTTAAATGTTTTGTAACATTCGGTACGAAAAAATGTAATTCCGTGTTCTCAATCTCCCTACGAAAGAATGTTGTTTTTCCGGAATTGCACGAAATCCTCCGGTTAACAACCCTAGTAAAAACTTCGTTTTTTTGTTTATAGCATTAACCCCAGGTTTAATAAACAGGAGACGGTGTCACGTGACTTTTTTGAAGCCAGTTTTTAGAACAGCTGCCATCTTAATTAACCCAAAACATTTCACGGAATTTAAGAGTTTGCTTAAAAATTTATTAAATTCAAGTCAAAAGATTGCACAAAATGAATTAAGTTTATGTTTGGCAGCTTTTTCTATCTTATAAAGAATTATTTGCTAACTGATTGCTTTTTTCAGTTTATTCGATAACATTCGGAATACTGAATTAGACATTCAGATAGCTGTACTTCAACACGATACAAGAAGATAATGTATTTCAAATAGTATAAAAGATTCTTGAGAAAATAAAACCAAATGTTTGTGAGTTTTTATCTATATTTAAACAATTAAAAATAAATATATATACAAACGTATGTGTTTATATATATATATATATATATATATATATATATATATATATATATATATATATATATATATATATATATATATATATATATATATATATATATATATATACAGGCCCGCCGTGAGCCTTTGCGGCGCCCAGGGTCAAAATTTCCCAAGCGCCCTGCTGAAAGTGAAAACTGATCTAATGATCCATAATTCAATACATATAATAAGTCATTTGATAACAAATCAAAGAGGATAAAAGAATATAGAATTTTTTAATTTTAATTAATGAACATTTTAACAGTTTATTTCTAGATAATTGCAATGGTCTTTTGACTTGGTTACACACTCATACATAAAATGATAAAGTCGACACTAGAACATGGTAGAAACAGACCAAAGACAATCATTAAACACTATTGGATGTTAAGAGCAAAAATTTGTCTAGAATACAACAGCTATTGTTGTTTCAATTTCAGAGGAAATTGATCTTTCGAGCTTTACTCATGGCAAATTTGGAAATCACTTCACCGTAGCACAACTTTTTGGCAAGATCATGCTCAATGGAAATAACCAGAAGATTCGTGAGTCGTTCTTGGCTCATTGTAGACCTTAAAGCTGTCTTAACTAGAGCAAGCTTATTAAAAGATCTCTCGCCTTCCGCAACAGAAACAGGGATGGTGTTGAAGATGCGCAGCAAAATGCAGACTGATTCGAAGAGCGGCTGAAGACCTTTCTGGTATATTTCATTCAATATCGTCATGGAAGTGAGAGATTCTTTTGGACCAAAAAGATTGGATCGCTTCAGAGCATCGAGGTGGCGGACCTCTTCAATAAGTTTCTCTTCCTCAACATCGGGATTTAAAGATGTTAATTTTTACAATTAAAATCAGTCTGGCAAACAAATTTTCTTTACAGACTTCAAAACGTCGTTTGGCGAAAATGTTTGTTTTCGCCAAACGATCCTTGAGAAACGAGAGCTTGAAGATTTTTTTGCAGTATAATCGCCTGTACTCCTTTGTATATACCGGACATGTTCGCTCTATTGTCATATCCTTGACCTCTGCAGTTTTTGAGATCGATTCCATTTTGTTCTAAGACGTCCATAATAAGCTTGGCAATGTCAGCACCTATCTTTTTTTCAAGATTCTCGACCCTCAGAAAGCGCTCCTTCACGGTCCATCTTTTGTCAGTACCAAAGTATACAAAGCGAAGAACAAAGGTGATTTTCTCGGTGTGAGAGACGTCCGGAGTCCCGTCCACAAGAATGGAATAGTAGATGGCCATATGAGCTTCGTTGATGATAGCACCGTGAACGATTCCTCCGCACTCTTTGATGAATTCATTTTGAGTGCTCCAGCCCAAGTAATGGGCATTCATTTTGTTACCTTCTTGTTGGCAGCGGGAAACTTCTTCTAAGTGTAGTTGGAGAGTCTTGTTGTGCTTGGCCAAGAGCTCTAGGGTAGCTAGAAAGTTGCCGTTGTCGTCATCTCCAATCATTTTTGATGAACCTAAAAATTATAATAATAAAACAGATTTATTTAAAACAATAAAGAAGCATTTGTTTTATTTTATGATGATTCTATGATGATTTTATATTATGATTTATGAATATTATAACATATTTATTTAAAAGAATAAAGAAGGATTTGTTTTATTTAATGATTTCCAAAATATCTAGTTAATCTAATAAATATAAGCTAAATAGATTTAAAGATAGTCGATATCACAATAGAACAATGGTAAATAGATTTACCTCTGAAACTAAGGTTTCGTCACGCTAAAAAAAGAGTAACATCTAAGATGCATCGTAGAATTTCACGCCACCTGGCTGCTTCATTTCTTATCGAGTTTTCAAGAGCTGCATCTATTCCGCTTTGATTTTCTAAGCTTTCTAGCGCCGTTTTCCATTCTATGTAAAAGTTTCGATGCTGGGCGTTATTCTGGTGACTTTTGACTTTCTTAGGTAGCTTGTGCCAGTTGCAGCTTATTCCATCATTCCATCTTAGAAGGTGCGACTGGTGTCCGATCCCAAAAGATTGTTTGCTTCCAAACAGAGAACACGGAAAGCAAATAAATGATTTCTTAGATACACTCCAGACCAGCCAATCTCGGCATGTCTTCTCCCCGTTGAGAGAGGTTTCGTAGAAAATTGATTCAGGAACCTTCTTCTTATTAGAATCTTTCGGGAAAGCTGAAGGATTTCGAGGAAGCCCCTGTAGAAACACAAAATCTCTTTCCACTTTGGAAAGATGTGCTGCCCACAAAGCAGGATCATTGGAAGGAATGGTAGCGATGGGTTCTTCTGTTCGCAACACCTGAGAATAAATTTTAAAAAATCTTATTTTATTAGCTTAAAAGTTTATTAACATCATTTCTTTTAAAGAGGTAGAACTTACCAAAATATTCTCTTCATTCACAGCTACCATTCCGATTTTTGATAGGGGCTCTCCCGAGCTTTCAGAAATGTCAGTGACATCGTTTTCAGTTCCAACCTATAAAAACAAGTTAAAAATTTATATAACATTGAATTAATCAAATGGGAAAATATCCTTTCACGGGGAAAACTATTTACTACTTGAATCGATTGACTTGGCAGGGAAGAGTTTGAAGCAGTAGGACTTTCATCTTCTCCTTTTTTTGTAACTGTAATACCACAGTCTTGAAGAGTGCGTTTGTTCTTTTCCTCATTCGCAGTTCTTTGAGCAGCATTCTTTCTTACTTGACAACCAGAATTTTTCTTTTTAAAACCAGACATGTTTTAATTCTTTTTGAAACAGCATCCGCTCATAAGCAAAGAACTGTTTGAATTTCTTCTTGATTGGGTCTATCAGACTATCACATCGATAAAAAACCCGTTATTTACTGTTTTATGATGCCAAAGTTATTCTAAATTCTCAAATTGTTTATACTTACATTAAGAAGCGATGATATGCACGATAAATATGCAGTATCTGACTTTTTAAATGAGTTATTTATTGTAAAACACAGCACAAACGTGTATATTTTCACGTGTTTCAAAATTATTTCAAATTTGAGAGATTTTAAAAATTAGAGAAATAAATTTAATAAATTTGTTTAAATATTTTATATCAATATCAAACTACTTGGATTTAATCTAATCTCTTTTTTTAATAAAGTAAAAAATCTCCGTTTTTAATTGAATGAAAATCTCCGTGCACTAAAGTTATTTTAGTCATTTACATCAGCCGCTGAAGTAAATGTTTAAAATAACTTTTTATTAATTTAACAACCCGCTGAAGTTCAGCGGGTTGTTAAATTAATCATTAGTATTCACTTTATTTGCGAGTTTCCGCTATATAAAAAGAATCGCTTTATTTAAAACTAATGTTTTGAAAGTAATGCTAATTTCTTAGTTTTAAAGCATTAATTTCTTTTTTTATTTAAAAAATCCAATTACGAAGCACTTCATTACAAAGTTGAAAATTTAAACTAAATAAAATTGACCGGCCAAAAAAAGCAATTGACCGTCTATTATATGTTTTAGCTGGTCAAATTGACCGGCTGCTTTTGATTTCTTATTTTCTACGCTGCTTCCCAGTACTTCATCTTTTTTTTAAATAAACATGAAAAAAAAATTATTTATATTCGGCTTCGTGCGCCCCTGTCAACCTGGCGCCCGGGACAAAACAACCCAGTAGACCCCCCCTCACGGCGGCCCTGTTAGGAGTCTTTATCAATCTGTCTAAAGCCTTTGACACAGTCAATTATGTCACTCCTTTAAAAAAACTTGAAAGATATGGAATAAAAAATAATAATTTAAAATTGTTTAAAAGATATTTATCAAAGAGACAGCAATACATTCAAAATAAAAAGGTTAAAACGACAAAAAAGTATATAACATGTGTAGTTCCTCAAGACTCGATCTTAGGATCTTTACTGTTTTCTCTTTATATAAATGATCTATCTCTTTTTTTTTTTTTTTTTAATTTTTCACCTCCCCAAGGCCTGAGTGGGCCACTACAGTTAAGGAGGCTGCTCATTTTTTTTTTAGTTTTTTTATTTTTTGTTGTAAATCGTGGTACAACCCTCTCTCAACTCTTTAACTCCGAAACACGAACCTTAACAAGCAAGGCCGCTGCGCAGAGAAATTAAGTTGAGCGCGGTACTTCCAGGGACATGGTGGGAGTCGAACTCAGAACCTCTCGCTTACAAAGCGAGCGCTCTTACCACTACACCACTACCGCATAATCTCTTACCTCAAACTTATTAAATTTTATTTTTTTAAAAAAAGACTTGAGTTAAAACTTATTAAATTTTATTTTTTTTTTTAAAAAAATAAATTTTAATAAGTTTGAGGTAAGAGATAGATCATTTATATAAAGAGAAAACAGTAAAGATCCTAAGATCGAGTCTTGAGGAACTACACATGTTATATACTTTTTTGTCGTTTTAACTTTTTTATTTTGAATGTATTGCTGTCTCTTTGATAAATATTTTTTAAACCATTTTAAATTATTATTTTTTATTCCATATCTTTCAAGTTTTTTTAAAGGAGTGACATAATTGACTGTGTCAAAGGCTTTAAACAGATTGATAAAAACTTAATTACTATAGATTTATAGACTCCAATCTATTTTAATCTGATATTAAAACCCTCTTTAAAGTAGTTATAGAAGAAGTAAACAAAGTAAACAAATTATTTGTAATAAACTTTCACTTAACGTTAACAAATCTAAACTTATGCTACTTCACAAACTAAAACAGGAAACCTTCATTAAAAATTACCCAATATTCACCTCAGGGGCGCACAGAGGGTGGGGGATCCGGGTCGGTTTCCCCAGGCATCATCAGATGACAGAAAATAAGTTATCAGTATGCCAAATAAAAAATAAAAAACATCTAATAAAGAAGTGAAAATCGTTTACTTTGCTACCTTCATCCATCATTACAGAAAGATTTCAAGCTCTGAAACAGCAATGTAGATTACTTTTCTTCATCTGGTCTACGCCTGACATCAATTCGGAATTAACAAACAGTCAAGAATCTAAAGTTAGAGATCTCGTACATCTGTATCCATATGATCTTAGTGAAGACGATTTTATTGATGAACTGCGGAACACTTTAGTCTGTTAAACGTAATCTCCTGACAGATGATCGGGCCCTAGATCTTCTGAATAGCATTTCTGCAAAAGGAATTTAAGGAAATTTTCCTCAGATATGCATCTGTCTACGTATCTTACTTACTTTGCCAACATCTTGTCGCGTTGGTTTGGCAAGGTTCTGACTGAAATTTTTTATATTAGGAGAATTTAGAAAAAATCTTTTAACTTTTTTTTAATGCCTAATTAAAATTATTTATATTATTAATTTTTTATTTTTTTATGTACTCGTTTTTTGGTTGATGTATAAAAATACATAAATAAACAAAAAACTATTATATAAATATTTTTATTTAGACAATAATAAAAAAAAAACTATTTATTTGCTATTCTCCTAATATAAAAAAATCATTTAGAAACTATTCAAACCAACGCGACAATCTGTGGCTGAAGGCAAGAGATTTTTTAGCAAGTTAGCTTTCGTCAAAAACTCTCTAAGAACAACCATGGGTCAGGATCGTCTTATAAGCTATTATTTCTATAGAAATAATAGCGATAAGACGATCCTGGTAGGAGTGGGGGTATCCAGTAAATTTTTTTCACCCCGGGTATCATGAAGTCTCTGTGCGCCTCTGCTTAACCTTAATGATATAAATATTACTAGACAAACATCTGTAAACCTTTTAGGTGTTACTTTAGACAAAAACTTATTAAAAATAAATAATATAAGCACTTTTTTTAAAAAAACTTTTTTTTATTTTTTATTTTTCAAAATTTTCACTTCCAACAAGGCTGCAAGTAACCATTACTAAAGTTGAAAGCTACTGGAAAAGAAAAGATGAAATTTTTAGAGGAAGATAACTATTATTTTTCAATAAATATTGCAATAGTGTATAAAGCAAAACCATTTTTAGGGGTGGAATGCAAGAAGTGAGCTTAAGTGAAGTTCGACTTGAACTTTGAAGTCTGACTTTGTCAAGTTAGACTTCAAAAAAAGCTTGAGCAAATGCGTATAAGAAACTTGAAAACAAGATCGCGCTTGAGAAATTCAAACTTAAAAACTTAAAAAGCGTTTATTTGAAGGTGGAATCGGAAAAAAACTTTGCAACCAGAAGCCGTAGAGTATTTGTGAAAGGAAAACCTTTTAAATAAAGCAAATTAACTATATTTTTAAATAACATATCTGAGTTTTATACTTTGAAACATTAACTTACAAAAATATATCAAAATGTGTAACAACAACAAAAAAAAATTACTTTCGTTTTGATAAATATAAAATTCAAAATTGTAATTTAGTATTAATATTAACAAAGTTCAATAAAAAAATACAACTAATAATTGAACATACTCGTGTTACCTTCTATTTGGTCTAAGGCCCTAACAATGACGTAATCTTCTATTTGTTCTAAGGCCCTAACAATGACGTAACCTTCTATTTGGTCGAAGGTCCTAACAATGACGTAACAGCTGTTTAATATTCAAATAGCATATATGCTATGCGGTTATCAGCAAAACATATATGTCGAACACAAGTTGTTATTGTTCATTTTTCTCGTTGAAGTTTGTATTAATAAAAAAGTTTAACTCCAACAAGGCTGCCAGCAAACACTAATTACGTTGGGAAGAAAACTAATAAAAAACTATGACAACAGTTTTCAATACCAGGATGAATATGATATATATAGAGAGAGAGATAGAGAACAAAATCAGTAGGAAGAAAATGGTAAACACAAGTTAGATTTCATCAAATGCACGACAAAACATTTTTGTTATAACGGTTAACAAGTCAACAGTAAAACGATAGGATCAAAATTTGTATAGATTAGGGGCGGATCCACTATTTATTAGTCTTTGAGATAGCTAACCTCTAAACACGGAGCGAACTGACCTAATAAAAACTCCAATACCATAAAAAAGATAACATTTTGTAAGTTTTGGAGCAAAATTATTTATTTCTATTTTAAAATTCGAAATTCGGTAAAAATCAAAATTCGGTAAGACTATTTTGTTCCAGAAGTAAGAAGCTCAGTAAGAAACAAAAAATTGATCTTTGCTTTTATGGCAAAAAGGGGCAATAAGATTGTTATTAATTCGAAGATTATATTTGTTTTTAGGTTTCATATAATAAAGATTTTGCAATACATTTAGCGACAAATTTTCTCTACATTTAAACATGAAACATAAAATATTAAAGGCATTTAGTTGATATACATTTAAAACGTTAACTTCTTTAAAAAGTTGTTTCGTATGAAAAAAACAATTTTTAAAATTTATTGCGCGATTATTGTGTTTCTGATGAGGGTAAAGAGATTTAAGCTTTGTTTTATGAGTGCTTCCCATATAATATTCACTTAGTTTATATGACAATGTAAAAATGAATAATATAATTGTGTTAACTGGTGTTTGCTTAATATATATTTCTTGCTTTATAGAGAATTTCGATGCATTTAGCAATTTTACTGGAGGTATTATCAATATGATTTCTCCAAGATTGATTTTCATCAACATATATTCCGAGAAACATTGTAACTTTTTCTTTTTTTATTATTACATTATCAATTAAAAAGTCTGGCATGATATGGAACAATTTCTGTTTTTTTTGATGGTGGATAAAAAAGTGTCCATGTAGTTTTTTTTTATATTTAGAGACAACTTATTTAGTTTAAACAAAACAAAAACTTTTTTTAAGTCATATTGGTAAAAAGTATATTAATATCTTTATGAGACATAAACAAATTTGTGTCATCTTAAAAATTTATTTTTGTTAAATTTTTCAACTCCTCAACAAAAAAACGTTTTTTTGCCTAATGATTTACCTAAACTTTATTTTGATAAAGTAGAAATAAAAAAAGATTC